GTATAAGAGACAGGGGAAAGAGAGAGAGGAGAGAGAGAGAGAGAGAGAGAGAGAGAGAGAGAGAGAGAGAGAGGAAAAAAGAAAGCAAGGAAAGGACGAGAAACCCCACATCTGAAGGAAAGGCGCATCGAAGGAATAAGAAAGTTGAGAAGAAGTCACGCTCAAGTCAAGAACGCGCCAGTCCTCGAAGTCGACATCAGCCTTCATAGCACGCGTTGGAAGGAACTGCCATCGCCATAAGCTCTACGCGTGAAACTACTCCGTACACGAGGCACGGCAACAAAGGAAACTCAAGGCGAAGAGTTTCAAATACTGCGAGAGGATACTAAGATAACCTCACTGCTAACCCCCCCTTGCCCTCCACCACTCCCCTTCCCACCCCTACTGCCACAACAAGCCATTCGTCCATCTTTCTCGACAGGCACAAATTGCGATATAGATCTACTCACCTACCTTCCCCAAACTAATCCCCCCCCTCGGCCTATACGAGAAGACATCATCGTCATACTCAACATAACCCGGCTCTCCAATCCGATTCGCCCCTGCCCCTCCCCCGTCCTCGTCTCACGCCCGCCCAGAATCTCACCCAACCCAGACCCATTTCAATTCATTCCAGACTGCACCCCAGTCCCAATCAAACTCCACCTCTCTCCCAACTCAATCCCGACGGGGGTAATCACTGGGAGCCGCCCTCCCAGCCACACCCCATCCCGAATTCTGTCCGCTGCCCCTAATCCCACCCCGTCTCAAGCAACACACCACCCTAATCCGTCACGCCGACCCCACTTACGCCCCACCCACGATTCTGACTTGCCCCTAATACTCCCCAGCCCCAACCTGATTTTGTCTCTCCACCTTCACACCCACAACCCAATCATCATCTAAGGATTATCCCAATCCCGACCCAGTCCCACCTCGAGCAACACCCTCTCATTTTTCAATTCCAAACGATCTAGTCTCTCCCCCCAGTTCCCCCCCCCACCCCGTTCCCCTCCCTTCCTCCGCAATCTTCACCCCACCCCTAACCACCACCCCAAGCCCGTTCCGCCCTTACCCCCATCCCAGACGGAAATACTCCCCCGCCACAGACCTTGACAGAAACAGAGGCTAACCACCCCACTCCCACACCAACACCGACCCCCATTCTATCTCAGAGCCATTCCAACCCCGACTCGGTCACACCAAGGCCCACCCACCGGCCCCACCCCAATCCCCCCCCTTTCCCGTCACAGCCCCATTCCCCAACACAATCACAGTCCCTCCCCCTTCCCGATCTTGGCGTGTCCCGATTCCGATCCAACCCCCAACATCTTTCTTCTACCCCCACACCTCCTAAAACTCCTATCCACCCCCGTTTTGACGGCATCCCCTCCTCTCCCTTTCCCTCCCTTTCCCTCCCCCCCCCTCGCCACCGACCCGACCACTACAGGTTTTCCATCCCGCCCCGTTATCGACCATTCCCAGACTGTTAACCGCCCTGTTCTTTGCTACACCCCGATAGGGTATCACATCAACTCATATCTCGACAACTGTCCACCTAATCTCAGGACAAATCCGATCTCGGCCTAGATCTAAATCCCGTCCCCGATCCCGTTCCCATTCCCGACCCTGTTCCCGATCCAGTTCCCTTCCCGTTCCCAATCCCTATCACGGACCCGATCCCATTCCTGATCCCGATCTCGCCCCAGCTCCCGTTCCTGATCCCGATCACTTTCCCGATCTTCCTTCCGCTCCCGATCCCGATATCGATCCTGTCCTCATCCCCGCCCCCGTTCCCGATCCTAATCCCGTTCCCTCTTCCACTCCCATCCTTGTCCTCGCTCTCCTTCCCGATCCTGTTCCCAGTCCCGATCCAACTCCATACTCCCTTTCCCGCTCCTGAGCCCGCTCCAGCCCCTGATCCTCAACCCGTTCCTTACCTCGATCCCGCTCCTGTTCCCGTCCCCGATCCCAAATCAGCCTCCGTGACCAATCCCGATCCCGTTCCCGATCCCAACTCAGCTCCCTTTCCCTGCCCCGATCCAGATCTCGACCCCGCTCCTGACTCCCGATTCCCGTCCCTGATCCCGTTCAAGACCCTGATCCTGTCCCTGATCCCGATCTTGCCTCCAAACCCGATCCCGATCTCAACCCAGTTCCTGCTCTCGATTCTGGTCTCGATCCTGACCTGAGTCCTGACCCATTCCCGTTACAGATCCAGTGCCCGATCCCGATACTTTCTTGCCTCCCGTCCAAGCACATTCGGCACCCATCCCGGATTCCATTTAGATCCCACTTTAGTCCCACTCCAATCTCGACTAACACCCACCCCACTGACAACCCCATCTAATACTAACATCCACAAACACTCCATCTTCTCCCTTCTTCTACAATCACACAAATACCCTTGACTTCGCCTCTCCCTTTCCTCTCCAATGTCGATCACACCCCAATGATCACAGTCTCCCCTCGAATAGTACTATCACCTCCACGCAGTATACACGGTACAGATCAACACTATTCTCTCATGCCAGCTAACCTGACGGTCTATACCCCTATATCAATCTCAATCCCATAGAGGTTCCAGTTGAGTCTACCTGAGAAATCTCAGAAGTCTGATCAGAGAGGAAGGTCTCATCCCTACCCCCTGTCCTACACCAACACCTACCTTCTAATACACCCAGCCCAATCATCACCCCCCAACCCAACACAAGGATGGAAGGAATGGGCATGGAAACGCAAAATTGGCTCGCAGAAAGGACTAGAGCTACGCTCATCAAGACCACAAAACTAATTGATCGTGGAGGTAACAACAAGGAAGAGGTGGTAATTTACGAATGCCCCAAGGAGCTAACTCCCAAACAAGAGGAGCTTCACAACAAACACGCAGTTTTATTCACCTTCTCCAAAAAAAGCCAAGAGCTGGACAGACAGGCGAAGCTCAAATGGATTCTGGAAAAGTTGAAATCACTGGAGCCAATCCAAGGACAAGAACCAAAAGTATCCTTTCACCCAAGAACGAGAAATGTTATCATGGTGATGTGCATGGAGGAATCACTTGCTACCTTCCTAAAGAACAAGTGTTTCACCTGCAACTCGTCAGTGGTGACAGTTCATCCATGGAAAAAGGCGGCAAATTTCCAACAAACACCGTTCAGGTACAAACAGGAACTGATCAAAAAGCATTTCTGGATTCAATTTGACAACGTACCAGAAGGTATGCATGGAAGCATCAAGGACAGAGTCACAATGGAATACGGTCACTTCAGAGAGACTCAATGGATTGTTTCAACACCGGACTTTCTGACCCCTCAGCACAATCAGATGACGGTGGTACTGGACACAGGGGATAGTCCCCCACCCTTCACGCCAGATCAATGGTTTTTCTCGCAGGATAACAAAGTCATCAGGATCACTGTTTCCAGCAAAACCAACCCGGTGTGCTTCAAGTGTAGGCAGAGAGGCCACCTGGGCACAGACACTAGCTGCCCGAAAACGAGAGAGAGCACAAAGCCCAAACCTCTCAAAACAGCAAACCTGCAGGAGGTCGAGAACAAAAAAGGATATTGGTACATACCTGACCCGCAGTACGCAGGCTGGGTATTCAATGACAACCTGGACACACCTGACTGGGTATGGACCATTGACCGGGAACCTACCCCTAGGCCTGAAGTGTACCCTCCATACGATAGCAGGTGGCAAATGCTCAAAACAGAAAGAAAGTCACCTAAATGCTTCACCAAAGAGCCGGTTATAAATGTAGACATGCTGAAGCAAGAGATTTGGGAAAGGGACTTGTGTGCGGACCTGAAAACAGTCCAGGAAACCACAGAAAGGCACTGGGTGGAAGTGGTCAAGAGGCGGCAGCAAGAGGAACAGTCAACGAAGGATCAGCACAAGCAAAAAACTTACTCCAGAAGGCAGCAAAAGGTAAAAGGAAAAACGACCAGCGATCAGGGAGCCGAGGCAGAAGGGACAGGTGAGACCACAGGGGGGGAAGATGGTGATACAACCATGAAGGAGGGAGAGGGAGAAAAGAACCCGGTGCTGGGAGTGAAAAGGAAACACATTGATGACCAAAAGGGGGGAGAAGACACGGAGGAGGATCGGGAACACCCAGAGTCTGAGGACTATCCATGGTCAGGTCAACAGGAAAGTGATCTCTTGGATTACATTCAGTTCTTTGAAAAAAAAAGGCAAGACAAGTATGAATTGCAGCTAATACTTCATAGAGAAGAGCAGAAAAATAAGTTGAAAGTTGAGATATCCAATCCATCGCAGATAATCCCACTTTCAGAGAACCCCTTTGCTCCTCTAGAAAGGGAAGAAGAGCTTGCAGCCTTTTCTTCAGAAAAATATTGCGCATCAAAAGAAGACCAGGAAATGGAAACGGGGGAAAACGGTCCGGGCTCTTTGAAGAAGGCAGCCCAAAGCAAAGGAAAAAGACTGTCGGGCTATAAGCCAACCCAACTTCTAGCGGACCAAGGGAAACAAAAAGGGCAAGAGGAATCTGACAAGACACTGACTTCCACAGAACAACTGGGCATCCAGGTTGAGGCCTTACACGCTCAGAATGCAAGGCTCACAGATCTGAATAGGGAAATGCAACTTCGCACAGTGGCGGCGCAGGATTTGCAGCACAAAGCACACGAAGCTTTCTGGGAAAGGGCCAGAAAGGAAGCAAGCTTGCTGCTACCGTCTCGAGCAGTAATCCCCATTCAAAAGGACCCAGTGATAGAGGAATGGAATGTAGCAGTTCACGAGGACTTCTCAATACTCAGATGGCAACTGGGTCAAAAGAGGGAGGATGTGATGGGAAAGATCACCAAGGGAAAGGAACCCAACCTGATGGGATTGGCGGGCAAAATACAAGAGGAACAACTGGGAAGTTAAACAGAATCCTCAGGAGCAAAGAAAGGGAGGAACCACACACAGTATGACACTAGACCCCTGGTGGTCCGTTTGAACCAAGACACAGATCTCCCTGAGGACCTTCAATGGAAACCTTGGTGGCTGGTGGCAGCTTTACCACTCACAACACTGGGAAGCGAATCAACCATGACTCAGAATGCAGCAGCACTAGCAACTCTGGTGGATTCAAGAGTACTAGAGCAGGACGAGAGCGAGCTGCCTTCTCTCCTCTTTCCAATGGAAGAGGACGCGCTGAGCAGCTCTGAGATCTAATCAGAACACTCGAAATTCAAGGGACGATGATTCCAAATAAATTATGAATTCATCAAGGGGAGACCTAGTGATCCAATCCTGGAACGTTAGAGGGCTAGCCACTATCTTAACAAACCAAGAAAAGTGGCACTGCCTGATGAACTCAACAGGTTGGTACGGTCCCAACCCCCCGGACATAGTCTGCTTACTCATCTAACTAATATGGACACACACTCTTTAATAGAGAAAGAAATAATCAGAAGGCTAAAAAACGCTCCAGTGGTAGTAACGACCCATAGCCCACAACCATCTTCAGCAGGGGTACTAATATTAATACACAACCAAGCCTTAGACACACAACAGCTTCAAATAAGAACAACGGCAACGGACCCAGTAGGAGGTAGATGGGCAAAACTAGAACTAATGCTTAAAGGAGAAGACATCACGTTGGTGAACCTCTACGCCCCAAATGCGTCAACAGAGAGAACATTGTTCTTTGAAGAAGTAAGAAGATTAATCCAACCTCAAGCGCATACAATACTGGTAGAAGATTGGAACACTACCCAGAACTCCCAGTTGGATAGAATCTCATGGGCAGATGGAACCACACAAGACCCATTAGAGGTAGCTCTGTCCCAATTAATGACAGAATACAACCTAATAGACCCCTATAGACTTCTTAACCCGCAAAAAAAAGGACTATACTTGCATTAGGAAAACAGCACTAGGTAGAACTTTTTTTCTAGGATAGACTTCTTTCTCATATCAGAGTCATTAGAGGGAGCAGTACTAGACACCACAATAAGTAGGATTCCCCATTACGATGGCTTTGACCACAACCCCATCACCATGAAACTGGCACTAACAGATGACACTTCTCCCGGGAAAAGTTTCTTCAAGCTGAACACTTCACTCCTTAAACTGGATTCATTCAAACAAGAATTCAAAGCCAAGTGGGCGGAAATCAAGGACAAACTAAAAGAAGGGGAATTAGTGAGAGACCTCCCACTTTCTATTCGCGAGATAAGTCAATGGGCAAATATCTTCTCAAGAAGAGAGGCAAGCAGGAGGAAAGGAAGACAGCAAAGCCTGGAAGCTATGGTTGAAATAGCCAAATTCAACCTTATAGTATGAACATCTTCTAGAGGAAGCGAGAACAGAGCTGAGGGAATGGGCGGCATGGAGAAGACAGGGACTAGCGATCAGAGCCAGAGTAAGGGATTGGGAAAGCAACCAAAGCATGACAAAATTCTTCCTCCAAAATATCAAATCAAGTCACAGGAATAGTAGGATACAAGCCCTAAGAGACACTTTGGGAACTACACAAACGTCACCTGAAGAAATATTAAAAGTAGCGGCAGGATTCTACCAGAACCTTTACGCTTCTAAAACCTTCCTGGAAAACCCAAACAACGTACGAAAAGCAAGAGAAAAATTTCTAAAGTATCTAGACAAAAGTCTCAACCAAGAAGCGATAGACCTTTTAGAAAAAGAAATCACAAATGAAGAACTTTTTGAAGCACTCAGGAGCATGCAACCAAACAAAACACCAGACATGGATGGCCTTCCGAAGGAATTCTGGCAAGCAAATTGGCACCTAGTCGGCGAATCCGTTACAACCTTTTTCAAGGAAGCCTTCACTAAGGGATCTATAGGACAAGAACTAAGCACAGGTATAGTCACGCAACTATACAAAAAAAGCGATAGAGAAGACATACGGAATTACAGACCCATAACCCTCTTACCAGTGATTTACAAAATACTAACTAAAACCCTAGCCAATAGAATCAAAAACGTTACAGATAAATGCTTCCACATAGACCAAAGTCACCAAACAGGTTTCATATCAGGAAGATATATTTTAGACAATGTAGTAACGCTAAACGAGGCCACTAAAATAATAAAGTATCAAAAAGTACAGGCAAACATATTATTCTTTGACTTCGAAAAGGTCTACGACCGGGTTAATTGGGATTTCCTTCAACAGAGTATGGAAAAGATGGGAGTAGGACCAAATTTTAGAAGATGGGTAAGAGTTCTATATGGAGACGCCAGAGGAATGGTACAAGCTAACGGTCATCTCTCAGAGAAATACGAAATGACTAGATCGGTAAGACAGGGAGATCCACTAGCAGCACCAATTTTTCTTTTCGTGATGGAAGCAATAGCAGCCTACCTCCGTAAAGACCCATCAATAGAAAGACTAGTAATCCAACAAGACTGAAGAAAAATAGCCATCCCCACAACTATACTTTTTGCAGATGATCTGACCGTACTCATTAGAGCGACAAATTCCTCGTTTCAAGCGCTCACAAAAGCAATGCAAGCATTCCAGTTAGCAGTCGAAATGAAAATAAATTGGAATAAGACAATAGGATGGTGGCTAGCTCCTTCCCTACCTCCCCAACAAACCCAAGATACACATGGCATACAATGGTTGGGCCCACAACAGCCAATCCGTTTCCTAGGCATTCAAATAACATCAGAAGGAACAAGCAGCTCCTCAGGAACCAGCCTACTTCTCAAAATGGCTAACAAGCTGACTGGATGGCAAGCAATCAATGTATCACTCATGGGAAGGGCGCTAGTTCTCAACACGTCAATTTTATCCACAGGATGGTACGTGGCGTCCCTCTGGAATCCACCACAAAGTTTTTTCGTAAGCCTCAAAAAGAAGATGGGATCTTACCTTTCGACTGGAAAGGCGGAAAATGAACATTACATCTCTAAGGTAGCATGGAAATACATTACCAGGCCCAAGCATCAAGGGGGACTGGGCACATTAAACCCCACGATACAATTTCAAGCACTGCAACACAAATGGATAATAAAACTCCTCTTCAACAGAGAATTGCCATGGCACGAGATGGCCCTCCACAAGATCCGAAACTTGGTTCCTTTCAAAGTGGACCCAACCATCGAATGGTACCATTGGCTCCTCAATCCCTCCTGGAACCCAAGAAGAAGAGAAGGGGGAGGACAGGCAAAAGAAAAGGACCCCACAAGCAAGCATTGGCCCACATTAATAAAACACTGGAGAACATGCCTCCCGCAAAAAATAAGAACACCAAGAATAAGAGAAGAACTCCTAAGGCAACCGCTGTTTGGAACCCCCCTGCTTACGGACCAAAACCATAAACCATGGTCCCTGAATACAAAAGGCAAACATTGGAGGAAGTGGATGAGCAAGGGAGTGTGGAAAATAGAGCACATTTGGAACTCAGAGCAAAACAAATGGTTGACAGAACAAGACCTCAGAACTAAACTCAAAGGAATCCACAATCTGAAGGAACAGTTAGCAAGAATACTAGAAAGTGTACCATTAAAATGGGTTCTCCTCCTGAAAAGCAAAAAAAATTGGGCGGTAGGGAACTGGTCCACAAAAATTGATTCGGAAGAAAACCCCCCAACCAGAGCGTATAAATTGCTCCAAATAAAAGATGGGCAGGAAGGAAAAGCAGAGTTCATGGCTTACGAACTAGAAGAAACACATAAATCTTGGGTAGCATTAGGCAGAATAATAGAACCAGGGAGCACAGAAAACCTCAATACCCTTAAAAGAGTACGTGCATGTACACTCAGGAAATACAGAAACCCAAACCCTGCAAGGCAACAAGACATAAACGGAACCAGGCTGTACAGACCAAACCTAGACATCAAAGATCTAGAAGTAGACCCAGCGGAACGGGGATGGATGGTACCTAGCTTTTCAGGGAAAGCCAAGAAGCTCACCCCTATATATGATTATGAAGTCAAAATAGGCTACAAACTGGGCAATTGCACAAGGGACCCCCTCTCAGTCATCTCAGAAAGGTGGAAAGGAAACTTGGGAGAAAATGCAGGTTGGGCGAATAAAATTCCTTGGAACCGGTATACAAATATAAGACCAGTAAGAATCAGAAGCCTACAGTGGCTTATTCTGTATTGGGCGGTGGCAGTCAACCAATGGTTGGCCAAAAGGAGAAAACAGCAAGATTCCCAACAACAAACGTCCATGTGCAAAGTTTGTAATGACCAAGCAGAAGAATCTTCGGTACATTGCCTAATAACATGTCAACAAGCTCAGGAAGTGTGGAACAAAACCAAAAACAGCTGGCAAAGGCTAACAAACCAAAACCTCCCTAGCAACTCTGTATATTTGCTAACGGGAGGACGAGAAACAGAAGCACTAGAGGAATCTACACTACTGATGGCAGACTTATGGAGGAGAGCAGCACTCTGGGCAATATGGAAAGCAAGGTGCAAGGGCACTCTAGAGGGACAAACGACATCTCTAGAGGAGAAATGGGTGGAAATAAAAAACATAACGAAAGTAAGAGCACGCTGGACCCAAGAGCAAAAAGATCAACAAGGGCTAATAACACCGGACAAAAAAGAACTGAGTCTGAGAAATTTCAAAAAAACATGGCTTTTGGAGAACAGAATCGCAAAAGTCGAGGAAGGAGAAAGGCAACGATACAGCAGAAGAAGGGCTCTAGCACAAAGAGCAGACAGAAACAGGAACAGCTGATCAGCAGGGATTTCATGCAGAAGGAGGCTCTCCAAACAAACCAAGATGGAAGAGGAAGAACATCAGCGTAAACAGGACAAGGTAGGCCAACAAAGGGGGAACTGAGAAGGCGAAAAGGAGGTATTGAGGGGGAGGACTGAGCAGCAGCCCAGAACAGACTCAGGAAAGTGGAAGGGGAGGAACAATACTGGAGCAAGAACTCACTGCAGAGCTACGGGCTGGGGAAGCAGACAGGATACAGCAAGAAGAGACCTGGTACGAAAGGGGCGCTAAATGGTGAGGAGAAAGAGTTGGACAAGTCCGGTGAACCTAGGAAGGATCGGCACCAATCAGAAACAGGCAAGGCCTCCAACAACGAGCAAAACAGTCCTGGATCAGGACAAGGACAAAGGAAACAGGGGACATGCGAACAGGGCTGACTCGAGGGAACGATGGAGAATAGACACACAGGCGGAATGAGGAGGATTTAAGGTCGAGGAACATAATA